TATTAAAGGCTATTTTTATCACAATATATTTCTTTAGGTTTATAAGAATCTGAAACCTAATTTAAGTCATATTATCTGTGATATAGACGAATACAGAATATTACTCTCTATTATATTATTGGTTTTCTTCAGAAAGATAAATAAGAATAAAGCTTTTAAGCTTTATTAGTTTAGTTCTTAGAATACAGAAATCTAGCAAGTATCTTGTAACTTTACTAGATCATAAATCACTATATATAGAATGTATTATAAGTGAATTAATTTATTCAATTGCATATATGCTCCTTTACAATTCATCTTCTATCAGAAGAAAAACCTTTTCTATCTTAAAAGATAAAACTTACTCAGAAATATCAAGAGAAATTTTCTTTCATTACTTCATTCATATCAAACTGACTAAGTAAATGAATAACTTAAAGATTTTCTCTTCTTGATTGGTAGAATAGTTAATTCCCATATATAACTAAAATCTAATTGAAGAGTAAGTTCATCAAAGTAAATAAAAGAGTTTTCCATAGTATAAAATAATTAACATAAATGTAAATAAGCCAGTATAACTATTATTTGATATTGAAAAATTTTAATCTATTAAAAAAATCAACAAACTGGAAATTGAATATTACTAGAAATCATTGTGAGATGATGATAGATAATATTGTATCAATATTTCTACTTTATATGTATTATGTCAAATTTTTTTTCTTTCATATAAACTGCCAAGTAACAAGTCATATAAAGTCTAATCTTCTTATTTTGAAACAAAACTATTCTAAAGTTCTGATAAGATACATACAATATTTATAAATATAACAAATTGGACATAACTTTCAGTTCTCAAGATAAAACAAACAATTCTTTTTAATAATTTTTATTAAGAGTTTTTTTTAATGCTTTAGTTTGTTATAACATATTGCCCATAAAAATTAGTTCATATAGTCCCTTTTTTTACTATCCCTCTATTCACCTCTTTTGTTAATATCATATATTAGTAAAATTTCATATATGCTAGATTAGTTCAAGTTGTAACATTAATAGTCGAAGTGAATCACCTTTGATAAATTGTTTGTTTGTATAATTAAGATATATAGTTTTACAAATTACTTGTATTTCTTGTATTTGATCTCAATAATCAAATAAATTGACTATTATGTGGTTTTAAAAAAAAATCCTAAAAAAAATTATTTTAAAAAATAATTTAAAATCTTTTTAATAGCCATACAGTCTATTATCAGCAAGTTTTGTCAAAAGATATAAAAGAATTTTAAGAAAATGATCTAAAACAGTTGTTATATCAAAGTAATAAATTGAAAAAAGAATCTAGATATTATTAAAGAAAAAAAAAAAGAACAAAAAATATAAAATATATCAATTATACAAAATCATGAAGACTCAATAGAAAATATAAATAAAAAAAAAATGAAAAAAGAGAAAAAAAAAGAGTTATACAGAAATCATTAAATAATAAATATATCACAATATTAAATAATTCAGATTTTAAACTATAGATAGAACTTGGAATGATCTATAGTAATAACCTATAAGCAATGATTTTATTAATTTAAAATCAATAAAGGAGTAAAATATCATTCTCTAAATTGCATCTAAAGAATTGGTTCATTTACAACAGATGAATTAACATATGAAAGTCATAACAATTTTGTAAATATTTTGTATATATACAATAAAGACATGCCATGTTGACATGACTGTGGATTAAAAAAAAAAAAAAAACAAAAAAAAAATATATATAAATCAAAATATCTATATGAGATATATAAATTATTTTTTAAATATTTATTTATCATGAGTTACACTCATTAAATTTGCAAAATATGCTATAAAACATTAAAATAATTATGCCTTCTCAATTCTTTGAAAGCTAATATTATGGCATCAAATAGAGACGCGAAAAACTCCAGACAAAACGTAGTAAAAGGAACTGCTAGATAAAACAAAAAATAATATATTCTCGTGATACATCATTAAGGCATTATTGTTAACTTCCCGGCTTTCGTTCCATCAACTTTCCCACAAGTTCTTTCTGAATATTGGCTTGCCTCTGGGCTTCGATAAGTGAATTAACAGATCGCAAATCGTTAACGATGTCTTTGGTCTTACCAAAGTAAACCTCTTGTAGTAAATTACGCATTTTTATTTCTATATCTTCGATCATCTTTCCGATGTTTGCTATGTGAGCTGAAGGTTCATCAAATGGGTAATCGGCTTCGGACTGGTTATTAAATATGTTTGCAATATATTGAATGAGATCATAGATCGTTTAATAAGGCGAAAGCAAGTAGAAAATTTTTTTCCAACCTGTCTTGTCATACTGCCAGACAAATTCATGTGACCAAGCTCAGGTCTACTAGTAATTGTGTACAATATAACCGTTGAGGTTAATTTATAATGTGCATTGCGGCCTCGTTCATTTGCTTTGAACACATGAATCGAATCCCAGGCGCCTTTCATTTTGCGAACACTATCGCCAACTGGGAATGTAAATAAAAAAATGGATAAGTCAAATCATAATTATTCGATTCAAAAGAGAAATATGGCAAATCACTTTATCCTCGCCTTTTTTAAATAACACAGCTCCTGAGAGTCCATCCTGATCATCCCAAAAATATGCCGAAGAAACACCACTTCCATAATACCTTTATGATGCCCAACAAGTTGTTCAGGCGAATTTATCAAAAACGCCACAAATAAGTATAAATATAAACAAAGAAAAGAATCGTGCCTTACAATAATATGAAATTACATTTCTCTATATGTATTAAAGGCGTCGTTAGCGGTTTTTTCTAGTTTGCGTGTTTTAGGAGAGGGTAATACACCATCGCTAATAGGGGGATCGTATTCGTTCGACCACGGGGATCTAAGTTTTAAATAAATAACAATTTAATTATGCGTGTATATCATATTGACAAATTAACGATTCTTGCGAATGCCGGAGAATTACCTAAAAGAATCAGCATCTCGGTTGTAAGCCGAAAGGATGTAATCCTTTCCGGTTTTAGGACATTTTGCTTCCCTCAGTGGCTGATCGATAACGCTAAACAAGGGTTCTTGAATATTAGGGGGGACAAGATCTAAGAGTCGCAAAAAATTTTCTTCAGTATTTTGAGGAGGAAGGCGTCTCATAAGATCCAGCGCACGCTCTATTTGATCAGACTATTAACAGAGATGTTCAGCAAGGTAGAAAATGTTTTTAAATAACAACGTAAAACGATTGTTTCGGCTCACCATTTTGCGCGACAACAGTTTACGAAAGAATCTGCCGTGGTTGAAGGCATTGTTACCAACCCTTTTGTCATAATCATACCCCAACTAAAGTTGACCTTTGATTGGTCGAAATTAATAAATAATCTACATTTTTGCAATCCAAAAGTTCTTTGAAAAAAAAAAAAAAATGTCTAATTCTGAACGCGGAGGAACTATTCGCGAGTATATTGATGCTCGTAAAAAAGCCGGAATGGCATGGTAATTTTCACGGTCGTTTGCGCCTCTGGATTTGTTGTTCATTCTTGTTAAAGGATTTTGGTCACTTACTCTTGTCCCAATTGTTTGTCTTGAAACTTCCTTACCTTTGAGGGAAGAATTTCGAAAACTCAAATCAGATGAAGGGCCACAATTTTCTGAAATAGAACTGATCAAATACCGTCGAAAATTGGATGAAGAAAGAGAGGCAAGATTGAGAGGCTCTTCTGTGAGGTCTTCTAGCAAAAAAGAAAAAAAAGAAACACCATCGTGAGCATAAAAGAAAGAGCCGAAGTGTTTCGCGAAGTTATAGTAGAAGTCCTGCCAGAAGCAATCCGAGTACCGAAGGTGATGATAGGAAAGATTCTTCTGATCTAGTTCATAAGGAACGTGAAGACCACGATCATGTAAAGGTATATCCTCGTTTACCAGTAGATTCGTTTGAAAAACGTAAAATAGAGAAAATATATGCAGGATAAACTATGTATTCGCGGGTAAATGATCAATACAAGTTAGGAGCATGTGTTAAATCCGTAAGGATATCTCCTAAAAAAATGTATTGATCTAGTTCTTTATTAACAGTAATGTATTTCATATGCTATTTGCAGAAGGAGAGGAGTCATAAATCTCAAAAACGCAAACACCGAAGTAATAGTTCCGATCGGAACTCTTCAGACTCTGAGACCGGGAAGGATGGTGATAGAGATAAGAGAAACCACCGGGATGGTCATCATCGACATCACAGTCATTCTCACAAGGTATTTAATTTGTTTGCAAATTGAAGCTATTATTTTCTCTGATCGAGTTGTTTATTATTTTCTGAACATGAAGAAACACAAACATAAGCACAGAACTCACGAGGAAGAACACGAAGATGAACCTGTGCGATTGTCTGAATTCCTTAAACATGGGAGTAGCAGTTCGGACGAATAATTGTTACCTTGGGAGACCGATCGCTTTTGATTTTCAATATTTTTGATTCTCAAGTACATATTTTCTGAAGATGGATACTTCGCTCGAAATACATGAAAGATGATAGTATAACATTCAAAAAAAAATTTTTTTTTACAACCGGCAAAAACCTGTATCAAATGTCCCGCATTTATTTTTTCTTAAATAACCAAGTATGGCGTGAGGGTAAACACTATATTAATTATAATTAGCCAACGATTTGATTAATCTACCACGATGGTTAAATGTGTTGAAATTAGGACGTGTGTCGACTCCATCGATGGTTCTATTAACGGTTTGTTTTTAATAGAAGCAAATGCAAAAATATTAACTCGTATATATGCTAATGCTGACGTGCAATTAAGAAAATGGAAGATTGGTTTACTTCTTTGCCATCTCGTTCTTCATTAATATCGGCTTCAAAGGACCTGCTCCCAGAATTATACTAATCGCGAATATTACTACTGAGACTAAGCATTCTATGATGATCTATATATATATATATTTATTTATTTATTTATTTAAAGTTAGTTGAATATCGAGTTGACTCTTGCGTGAACGATTTATTACCTCAATTGGCATTTCATTAGGAATTCTTTCGACTGCTTTGAGATACGATAGATCTATTCAAATGTTCGATTATCATGAAAAGGTTAGAAGGAAATGATTGAGAGACTTGAAACACGGGAAACCATCCGCTTGTGATTCGCGACAAGTACACATACGTTCATATGTAGAGTAGGCTGAATGAAGAAGCGTCAGGAATCCAAGCCAACCGAGTAACTTTCCAAAGGTTATCGTAGTTAAGGACATTATCACTCAAGTTTCGCGGCATCAGATGGGATATTTAAAACGCATATAAATTACGCACGTGACATTATACAGTAATTAATTTATTGATTAAAGAATTGATTGTGCTAAAATTGCTAAAATTGCTAAAATTTATTAATCGAAAATTTGAATCAAACAGTTAGTAGTTATAAAAGAATAAACTATGTTACTGTACATTTTAAATTTATGGTTTTGATGATAATGAGTGAGTGATGTATTCAAATCGTATTACTCATAATAATATAATAAGACAAGGATTCTAAACTTTTTTTTTTCTTTTTTTTTTTTCTGTATCCTCGAAAATTCAATGCGTTTTACCATTCAAATTGTAGATACTGAAGAGATAAGTACACATTATATTTATGAATTTTTCACAGTTTCGATTAAAATCGGAATTGATGAGGGGTCTGACAAAGTACTCAAATCACCCAATTGATCCGACTCTCCACTAACAATCTTCCTCAGAATTCTCCTCATAATCTTTCCGCTTCTAGTCTTTGGTAAATCCTTAACGATATAAATTTTCCTTGGTGATGCAAACGATCCAATTCCCTTGCTTACTTGGAGCGACAATTCTTTTACGTCAACACTTTCCTGAAGCTGTTTGAGAGTGGCAAACGCGTGCACAGATTGACCTGTTATGTCATCGTGAATACCAATCACAGCAGCTTCGGCCACAGATGGATGGATGATCAAAGCAGCTTCAATTTCAGCTGTTGATAGACGATGTCCAGATACATTAATAACATCATCAACACGACCTCGGATCCAATAGTATCCGTCGGCATCCCTGCCAACACTATCTCCGGTGAAATAATAATTTTTGTAGTGTTGAAAGTATGTTTTAAGGTATAGTCCGTGATCGTTATATATAGTACGTGCCATTGAAGGCCATGGCTGACGAATGGCCAATACACCTTCGACTTCGGTTTCTTCCAATTCTTTTCCCGTGATCGGATCCAATATGGCAAGGTCAATACCAAATGAGGGGAGGGTAGCGGAACCGGGTTTTGTTACTGTGGCACCAGGAAATGGGGTGACGATAATCGAACCGGTTTCGGTCTGCCAATAAGTATCAATCACCGCACATTCATTTCTTCCGACTACCTCGTTGTACCAATCCCAAGCTTCGGGTTGGATCGGCTCACCTACAGATCCAATAACTCTCAAGCTTGAAAGATCGCGACCATCTACATATTCACGACCGTATTTTCGTAATAGTCGTATGGCAGTTGGTGCAGTATAAAATTGTGTGATCTTATGTTTTTCTACGGTCTCCCAGTACCTCGATGGTGTGGGGTATATAGGGGTGGATTCAAACAATACGGTGGTTGCACCGTTAATCAATGGGCCATAGACGATGTAGGAGTGACCGGTGATCCAGCCGATATCTGCCATACAACCATAGACATCACCTTCATGGTAATCGAATACATATTTAAAAGTCACTGCCGTCCCTAGTAAATAACCAGCGACGGTATGAAGAATACCCTTTGGTTTGCCGGTAGAACCGGAGGTGTAAAGTAGGAAAAGAGGGTCTTCCGAGTCCATAATCTCGGGTGGGCAGTAAGGTCGTTGTTTTTCAATTTCCTCATGCCACCATAAATCTCTTGAGGAATCGAATGGAACTTCGGAGCCAGTACGGCGAAACACGAAAACACGTTTAACATTAGGGCATTCCTTCAACGCAGCGTCGACGATCTTTTTGATATGAATGGTCTTATCACCGCGGCGACCTTCATCAGCGGTAATGACAAATCTGCTGTCCGCATCTCTGATACGGTTTCTCAAGGCTTCCGAGGAAAAACCGGCAAAGACCACGGAATGAATAACCCCCAAACGAGTACAAGCCAGAAAGGCGACGACGGCTTCCGGTACCATGGGCATGTATATGGCAACTGTGTCGCCTTTTTTCAAACCATGAGATTTTAGCACATTGGCAAAACGACAAACATCGCGGAACAACTGGCCATAAGTGATACTACGATGTTGACCGGGTTCATTAGCTTCGTAAATGATGGCAACCTAAAAAGTAACGTTTCAGAATAAACGAAAAAATTAGGATGTGTAACTAAAATCGATCAAATTACCTTATTGGGATCTTTGATAGCGTGTCTATCAACACAATTATATGATGCATTCAGTTTTCCTCCTTTAAACCAAAAAACATCGCCGTGCTCAAAACCACCAGATAAAACATTTTCGAAAGGTTTATCCCAATGAAGAAATTCATTAGCATGCTATTAATTATCAAGATAAAAAATGATAGATGAGGGAGATATCTTGTGGAACATGATTTATTACCAAACATTTTCAGAGAAAAAAAAAACACAGGTCCCCAATTGTATAAAAGCAAACGCACCTTTCCCCAAAATTCTGTGGGATTAGCAATACTCTCTTGATAGAGTTCTTTGTACCTCTCGATCGAATGAATGTGTGGCTTCGGATTCTTCGACTCATCCAATAAGCGCTCTGGAACGGGATGAGAAATAATTTTAATTTTAAGATGGTCTGTGGACATGACAGATGTTTCAACAAAGATGATATTGGCGATACGGGTTTAGGGTAATATTTATATGTAAATAAACACAATACGATTATTATTCTTTATGCATGTGTGCCGTTATTTTGAAGGCGACAGGAACGTTGGATAAAATTTTCAGGTTCATAACCCGAAACAATACAAGTTTGTATTAATTTCAGGAGCATAATTAAGAGGTTCCTGTCCGCTTTCGAAAATAATTATCTAATATAGTAGCCAATTATATGCAACAATAGTAGTACATCTATATACATACGTGGAACCATTCTTTTTAACGTTTGAAGAATGATACTTTTCACACGAATAGAGCATCGATGCCACTCTTCGGCTTAAAAACCATCAATTATTGCCCGCCTGACTCTTATGATTCATCACATCACTGATATGATTTAATCCAAATCCATCTTGAGTTTATTTACGGTTAGTCTCCGAAGGTGTGAGAACAATTTCGTCCTCCGCGAACGCTGGTTGATAGACGTTCTCCACGTTTACACCATCACAAAGATAGAACAAACAATTCGTGGGCGTACTCAATTTTGATCACAAACTTTAGAATAGCAATTCTCAATAACCAACTTGTTTGGTCGCCACAAGGGTAACGCCTGATAATTTTTTTATAAATAAACAGAAATTGAAATTTATCCAACATGCGGGCTATGCACCGGGTTTAGCTGTAATATATTAATTTTTTAACTTAATCATATATTAGTTTATATTAAAATATTGAATAAACCTGAATTATGCATTAGGTTTAATTATATGTCATTATTTATTATCGTTATCGTTATTATTATTATTATTATTATCGTTATCATTATTATTTTTATTATCATTATCGTTATTATTTGTATTTTTATTTTTAATCCACAATCATGCCATCACATCAAATTAATATCTAACAAGTTACAGACTTTTACATGATAATTAACTCATTATTAGTTGAAAAATTATACTACTTAAAAAAACGTGAGAAGTTCATATACTGTAAAACTAAGTCTTAACGAGATATTAAAAAACAATATTAGTAATTTGATATTTGATCTCTAACTATTAGAATCATTATCAATAATTTAATACTATAAATTATTTTGAAAAATAATAGATTGTTTGTTGAATTATTATATTAAAAAAAGAGAAAAAAAAATCAAAATTTTCTTATTCAAATAAATAATAATTATAGTAAACTCTTCAAGAATAAAAGTATGTTATACAAATTCATATTTAATAGTATAACTTATTATCCAAAGATTCATAACTTGAAGAATATCTAAATGGTACAAAAAAAAAAAAATCAAATATCAGAACTAAATCAGCAAAAATTACAACAATTATTAGACTTAAACAAATACAAATCAAAAATAAAGAATTGCTTAATCTGCTTGCTTGCAAATTACTAAATTATATATCAAACAAAGATAATTTACACTTCAACACTAGTAAAAAAAAAAAAGATTTAATATATTATCACTTATATAACACTAGTTGAAATTATATCATTTGGTTACCAAATTATTACTGAATTTGACAAAATTTAATAATAAAAAAATTGATAAATTATTTATGATTACTGCCATTCGGCATTAAAAATATCAGTAAAAAATCAACAAAAAATATTAGTATACTGCAAAAAAAAAATTTGACGCAAAATCTGACAATATTGTAACAAAAAAAAAAAAAATTTGACACAAAATTTGACAATATTGTGATAAAAAAAAATTTTTGTATACTGTGGCAAAAAAAATTTTTTGTATACTATAACCAAAAATTTGACAAAAAAATTAATATTGTGACAAAAAAAAAAATTGATACTGTGGTAAAAAATTTGACAAAAAAATTATTGCTGGAAAAAATTCAGTAAAAAAAATTACTACAAAAAAAATTAGGTAAAAAAATTATTGTAGCAAAAAATTTATACTGCAAAAAAAAATTTAATACAAAATCTGATAATATTGTGGTAAAAAAAATTTTTGCATACTAGAACAAAAAATTTTTTTGCTTACTGTAATAGAAAATTTGGCAAAAAAATTAATACTGTGACAAAAAAAAATTGATGCTGTGGCAAAAAATTTGACAAAAAAATTATTGCAGGAAAAAATTCAGCAAAAAAAATTACTACAGAAAAAAATTAGATAAAAAAATTATTGTAGCAAAAAATTTAAATTTTATGAATTTATTAAAAAATTATAAAATCAATTGATTAAATTATTTGTCATTTTCCTCTTTCTTCTCTTCCTCCTTTTCTACTTGCTTTTCTTTTCCCTTTAAAGATTTTGGCTTAACTCTTTTAAAATTAGCATCAATTGGTTTTACCTTACCAAATATTTTCCAAGATTTTTTACTTTTTTCTTCTAATCTAACTGCCTCTCAAATTTTATCTATTTGTACACTTTCCCCAGTTTGTTTCTCACCCTCTGAATATATTAATAATTCCTTATATTCAGTAATTTTTCATCTTTTGAATTTATCTACTGACTTTTTATCTTTTCCTGTCTCTTTTTCTTATTTATGTTCTAAAATTTCTTTTAAACTGTATATCCAATTTGACAAGCCTTCTGGTGGAGTCATATTATAGAAATATGAATTATCATGATATTATTTATGAGTCAGCTGGAATGCTTGAATTAATTTCAAATGTTCATTCAATAAATCCTTTAACTATAAGTAATTAAGATTAATATTATAATTATTTGGTATGAAATATTTTGCCAAAAAATATTTTTTTCAGAATATCAACTATAATAATATATATTTATTCTTCTTTTAATGGGTTTTTCAGATCAGTCTCACTTTCTTCAAGTGAATGCACTTTTGTTTCTTTAATTACATTAGTTAATTCATCCCAATTTTTGATAATTTTCTTTGACCTTCGTTCAACAAGCAACTGTATGTTATACTTTTAATTCTTTATACTCTATTTTTAATTATTTATTAAAAATTAATACTTGAAGGTGGTATAAATGCAGAATATTATTAATCTTACTTCATTTAATCAGCTATCTGCATGTAACCGATAATTGTCTGCTTTCAGTTTTCCAGTTTCTGTCTTTCAATATCTTCCTCTCTGATAGTGATGTAAAATATCTAACCATTTGTTTGTTTGCTTTTATTAGGAATTAAAACATGGACCATGGATTTTATTAATTTGAGTATTAACTTTTGTAATATTTTTTTATTTATATCACTTGAAAAAAACTTCATCTATCCTTAGTTTATATTCACTAAAAATGGTTTTCATTAAGGCCTTCATTTTTGCTCTTACTTTTTCTGGTTTTGGCTTATTTTTGATAACCAGTTTTACCAGTTTTGCCTCTTTACTATTCCTCCTTGATTGAATTCTTCAGCACTTTTCTAAACTTGACAAACTTTTGAATTTGATATATCAGTTGCATTAGATTCTACAACAACTATAAGATCAAGTTCAGGGTCTACTGATTTGAGCTGATTAATTTCTTTTTTAAAATCTTCTATTTTATTTTTTTGCTGTTCTGATTCTTCAAAAAACTTGTTGTTAATATATTCCACTAGGTCTAATTGTTTTACAAATTCAACATTTTCTTTTTCTAGTTTTTCGATCCACACATATAATTCTTCATTTTCTAAATAAATTAGTTGGTTAATAAAGATAAATTTTAATACCGTAAAATGCTTTTCAAAGTATCTCTTCCTATAAAAAAATCTTTCAGTTTTTTCAGATATCCTAAATATATAAATCTTTTATTTATAGATATATGCATCAAAATATTTATATTAGTATTTGCCTTCTAATTGATTACAGATCTTATATTTTCAAATAATAATCTATCATAAAACCACTTACCTTACAATTTACAAACTCATCTATTTAATATTTTATGAACCTATTTACCTTACAATTTACAAATCCCTATATTTTGCAAACTGAGTACTCAAAATTCTATAAATTTATCCCTATACTTTACAAATCCGTCCATCTTACAATCCATAAATTTATACCCATTAATTTACATTCCTTTTTATCTATATTTTGTAAACTCATGTCTTACTACCCTACATTTCATGAACCATATTCTATTCTTTACAAATCTATTTAAAAATATGCAAATCAAATTCAACTTGTATTAAAAAAATAACATAAACCAGATTTGATTTGTGCTAAAAAAAACTTAATTTTGAACAAATTCAAAAGTAGATTAACTATATTAATTTTAAATTAATAGATAGTAAGTTTTTATTTACATATTATATATTTGTTAAGTAAATTGAAAGATAAATAAATTAATTATATCACAAAAAAAACTTTTTTCATAGATCTTCAGTTTTTCTAAAAATTTTCTTTTTTGATAATTTTCTTGAAAAACAAAAGAAGCCAGCTATAATACAAAGAGAAACTTTTAATAAAACTAGCAAAACAACAAGAAATAACTATACAGGACCAGTCCTTAGTACATCTAATTTTTTAGCAACAAGAAGTAGAAAAATATAAGTATATTTCAGCCATACTTTGTAGATTTTTTTTTTTTAAAGAGAAAAAAAAAATTCAAGAAAACCAATTCACAGTAAGTTCTTTAAAATCCAACCTCAACTCTTCAAGTTCTCAGCCAGGCCAGTATAGGTTATACCTTTCTTAATATCAAGAGAAGTCCTGTAAACAATAGGCCAAACCAATAAATCAGTTCAGACTCAAGGTTCACAATATCTAGGAGAATGTTCAAGTCTCTTTTACTAAACAGTAAAGAGTATCCAAACATCATAACAACAATACATAACAATTACTATGTCATACAAAACACAAATACGTTATTCAGGAACATAACAACTTGTTTACATGTCAAATAAGATAATCTGATTGAATGTGATTAACTTTCCAATTTTATGTGTTTCACTAAACTGTTTTGATAAACAATACTGATCAACTGGAATTACAAGTAAACAATAATACATATCTAATCAAAATAAATAATAAAGTACATCTGATTAAAATATAACAATACATAAAAGTA